TAATTACTAACCAAACTAGGTATTTATCCGCGCTATACTGCACGATATTTTTTTAAATTTTGTATATATTTTTAATATAATAAAATTATTTTTATAATGTAAATGAGTATTATATTTATTTTTTATTAGCTTAATTTATGTATTTATATGTTTTAAATCTGAATAAAAATTATATATATTTTTTTTATTTTTCAAAATTATAATTTGCTATTAAATTTAGTTAGCTAACTAATTATAAATGTATATATAGAAATAAAATATATAAGAATAAAGCAATGCATTTTTAGTACTTTCATGATAATGGTAAATATAATCTATTTTCTCCAATAAATTACCACATGATTCTCTTTTATAATTATATAAAGTAAAATATCATTTAAAAAAGATTTATTAAGTAATATGATTATTTTAAATTATAAATTTATTTATTTATCAAATATTTTATTATAAACATTTGTTTCTAAAACTACCAAACTATAATCAATAACATTCGTATCAAAACCATTACTATTGCTTTAGAACTAAATAGAAAATTACGTTTAAACTCTTAAAATATTGTTTTAGTTAAAGTTAAATAATTAAATTTTGGTTACTATAAACATACTTTTAACTTTGAAATTTAGCACAGAGAAATTTCATCTTCTTACAAAAATCGAGAAATCGCATTTTCTGTCAAAACAGAAAAACTTCATTTTCCCATTAAACTGAGAAATCAGCTATTCCCGCTAAAAACAAAAAATTCTTTTTCTCGTAAAACCTAAAACCTAAAATTTCATTTTCCCGCGAGAACCTGTGTTTTTCCACCAAAGTCGAAAAATTACGTTTTTTCACAAAAACCAAAAAATTTCATCTTCTTACAAAAACTAAAAAAAAAAAATTGTATTTTCCCGTCAAAATAGAAAAAAAAAAATTTCCTGCAAAAACTGAGAAATCGTCCATTCCCGCCAAAAAAAAAAATCATTTTCTCATCAAGTCTAGAATGACGCTTTCCTACAAAAATAATAAACTACAATTTCCCGTGAAATTGTGTTTTCCCTCGAAAACTAAGAAATTGTTATGTTTTTATCGGTTCAAATTTTTGCCGATGTGTGAGCTTCTTATAACATAAGACTTTTTGCGTTGTTGTCATGGAAGCATAGTTGATGCTGAGTCTACACTATTTCAATCATATACGTCTATGTCAAACAAACAGATAGCTAGATTTTTATTTATTTATTTGTTGTTATTTATTATTTAGATTTGGTTTTGGCAAAAAAAAGAAAACAATGATTTTATTTATTTATTTATTTTTATTTATTATTTGGGTCTGGATTTGGCAAAAAATAAAATAATAATTTTTTTTTATTTACTGTTATTAATTATTTGGGCTTGGTTTGGTAAAAAATAAAATAAAAATTAATAGAAAACATATTTGAGTTTTTAATGGGTTTAAGTTTAAAAATTAAAATAAATAGATGAGATGTATTGATAAAATATTTTGATTAGTGATTATTTTTGCTGAAGTGTCAAGTTTATAAAGATTAAAAAGCTGAGGTATCAAGCAATGAGAGACTTGAGTGTTATTGTTGTATTGATTATAATGTGAAGTATTAACTAACATATTTGTAATTGTATGCAGCCGCCTGAAGTGAAACAGATTATTCAGTTAATAATGAACTGAGACCATTTCAAAAATAGATAGTGAAAGTACTGTAATGAAATTTCAAACAGGTGCGGTCTTGAAAATTCATGGATCAAAAGAAAAAAGATAAGTATGAACCTATTAAATTGTATTTTAAAAAAAATAAAAATTAGTAAAATGAAACAGAGGGAATAAACATAGTGAAGTATCTAAACGCAAACTTTAGTAGTATTACATTAACGCAAACGCGTATACTATAAAACTCAACTGGAACGCGGTTGGTCGACGTCGTACCATTCGTGACTCGTAAGCAGTGCTGTGTGTTTGTCTTCTGCGTACGAAAAGAGGTCACGAGCTCATTGAATTTTAAACGGTCAATCTACATTTTATTTCTTATTTATTGGCGTCACCCAAAGTCAAGTCACATCGCAATGTTTCATGTTTTTGTTTTGGTTCAATTATTATATCTCTTCATGTATTTGCTTCGGTCCAATTAAATTTCTCATCACAATGTTTTTATATGTCTTTGGGAAGTATGCATCAAATCCAGCCGAACAAAAATACCGAACAAAGCAGAATAGATAAACTTATTACCAAAATGTACACATTACATATAGCTTTTTAGATGTTTTCATGTAATACATATAATCAAAGTTTCATGATCATCTAAGAATAATGTACTAAATACAAACTATGGGACAATTGAGGTGAAAGCTTCAAAAAATAATATATATAATTTGGGTTTGGGATTTAGTATTGTTTTCCCTTGTTGATATTTAATTTTGATGGATTCAGATTTAGTATTTTAGGTTTAAACTAAAGTCTAGAGTTTAATTTTTAGAGACTAGAGTTTGGTTTTACATTATATTATTATAATAAAACAGATTACTGTTAACTTTTGTATAAATTAAAATACTATTTATTTTCCTAAGAATCCAGATACATATACTTGTTCATTCTTTGCAGAAATGTACATTTTTATGAAAATAAATATTAATAATAAGTTCAAATAAAAATATTGATGAAAAACACATTATTATTAACTAAGTAATGCTGATATAGTGGTTTTTCATTTAAGGAAGAATTGTTCTGTTAATCTAAATCAAAAATCGATTTCTCTTAACTATAAAATTATTTAAATAGTTTTTACTTGGCCAATCGAAATAATACCATATTTTAGGTCTTTAAAAAACTCAATGAATGGACTACTCAATATCTACATTCACTCGAGAAGAATTTGTCTAATGTTAAAAGCTAAAATCACCCTTTAATTATATATGTATATATATATATATATATTAGGTTACTATCTGCATAAACGTACAGGTTAATGTTTGTAAAAATATTTACAAAAATATTCTATAATTTGTTAAGTTTCAAAATATTATAATATTTGGATATTTAAAAATGTTCAGTCGAGACTAGAAAAAATTTAGTTATTATTCGTTTTTAATTTTAACTTGTACAAAACAAGATTTACATTTATTTTCGTTATATATTTATAAAAATAATATTATTTTCTGTTTGTATAATATATGAATCAAAAAAATGAAAAAATAACAAATGTTTGTAGATCTAAAACATGGAAATAATTTTTAATTCTATTAATAAAACAAGTAACTAATTTAATTTACTAAACCAATAAAATTATCGAATTATTTGTAATCAGTTCGATTTAATTGAAATGATTTAAAACAAAATATTTGATAATAAAAATAGTACACAAAAATAAATTAATAAAAAATATTAGGAAAAGAGATAATAACATCTAAACTTATAACTTTCTATTTAATATATGTTAGATATATAAAACATTTTTGGCTAACGTCTAACGATCCGTGAAACAACACCAAAGATATTTTTGATCATGTTATAAATGAAATCAAGAGACTATTTTGCAAAAATCAAAATAAATAAAATAAATATTTAGTCAAAAAAAAATCAAAATAAATAATTAAACGACTATATATATCATGGTTTGCACTTGCACATAAAGACGATGTGCATGGACGGTGAAGTATCCCCGCCGCAATTTCCTGCCTATCTAACACGTTACCAAATCTATTAAATTGGCATAATTTGCCTCTTCAAAAAAATAAAGAAAAAAGATCACTTTCGAGAATTCTATTTATGTATTTAAGAAAAATTAAATAAATTCTTACTATCACAGTATCACGGAATGATATCATTATTCAAAATTCTAATACACTAGAAAATTTTCAAAATATATTCTATTTATATATAAGATCTCTACCAAATATTATGTTTCAATTCATAAAATGGTTATGTTCCAAAGAAAAACTACATAAAATGGAAATGTTAGAGTCATGTTTTGATTTTTTTTTTGTAATTTAGTAAATAAAAATGGTAAATACAACATCAAATTTAAAATGGAAAGAGTAATCTTAAAAAAAAACAAAATTGGACATGGAATCTGCGTAGATGCTGACTCGGAGTTTGGTCAAAACACAGCTAATGGTATAATGAAGATAATATCATACACGTCACGCTGACTTGTTTTCCTCCTCCCAACTTGTTAATTTCTTTAATATTCCTAAAAATATCACAAAAACAGAAAAAACACAGCTGTTCTTCTCGATCCCAAATTTTTATTTTTTATTTTGCTGCTAAGGACTCATTTTATTTCATTATTTCACAATTCAGGACTCTTAGATTTCCTCGATTTTAGCTTAGATACTCTTTTTGTTTTATTATCAAAGTGTACTCATTCCTTTTTAATTTTTCCTCATATTTTTTTTAAAGATTATCCTTATTGAGTACTAATTTTAAATAGAATAAAGTTTGTTAGTTGTTATTAATAGCTTGAGTTTCTATAAACTCAATTATGTATATTTTTAAAAATAATTTCAATTTATAAGATTTTCTCTAAAACTAGATAATTACTGATTTTCCAAATCAAAACCTCAGTAAGAATGGGAAATAGTAAATGAGAATTATTAAAAAATCCGAGTCAAGAGATAATCTTTAACCGAAAAAAAAATAGAGATAAAATTTTAACAAACTATATTAAGATATGATAGTTCAAAGCGAAACTCGCATTGTCAGAGCGTGTAAAACACGACCATCGACTATAGAGGTTACATGAGTGACACGTGCCATTAGTAGCGCGTGAGTTTATGTGTGTAACGAAGAAGATATGGAGAAGTGTGACAATATCATTAATTTCAGGTTGAGGACACAATACAAGTTAAGTTTATGGTCTAAGGACTTGCACTGTCTCCAAATCTGCAGGAAGGACTTTTTGATTGGATCAATATAAATACCTTTCTCCATTCTCTTGCACCTTCATCAACATCTTCACAATTCACACTTTTTCACTTTCATCGATTTTCTCCTTGCGCATCAGATTCCGAGGAAGATGACTATTCTTGTTGAACATTACGTCTCTGGTAACGTTTCATTGCTTTCATGGTCAAGATCACACTTTTGTTGTTTTCGCAATATTGAAGTTTCTGATTTTTGTTGATTGAATTTATTATGGTGACGATAATATATATATATAGATTCAAGAATCGAGGAAAAGAAAATAAGGGCTGATGAATTGGTGTTAGATGGAGGTTTTGTGGTTCCAAAATCTAAGGAAGCTGATGGATTCGATGCCCCTGATATCAACTTTCTGGGCCACTCTTTTAGGTTTGTTTGCTTTTTGTTTATCTCTAGACATAATAACGTAATAAATCAACGTTTTAATATGGGAGGGACAAAACTAAATGTTGTTAAACTCATTTAGGGATTATGAGAGTGGTGCAAGCGAGAGACAACAAGGTGTTGAGGAATTCTACAGGATGCAACACATTAACCAGACTTATGACTTTGTAAGCCTAACAAATCTTTATTCCTATAAATTAAATGATCAAATATTATGTTTAGTGTTAATCGAAAATTAAACTCGAAATTAAAAAAAAAACTGGATATATAGGTGAAGAAGATGAGAAAAGAATATGGTAAACTTAACAAGATGGAAATGAGTATATGGGAATGTTGTGAGCTATTGAACAATGTGGTCGATGAAAGTGATCCTGATCTTGATGAACCTCAAATCCAACACCTTCTCCAAACCGCTGAAGCTATTCGTAGGGACTATCCTGATGAAGACTGGCTCCATCTCACCGCTTTGATCCATGGTACGTGTCTTTGTTTTGCCATCTCATAAATATGTACAATATACTATTGTTTCATACAGACAACAAAAAAGACTATTTAGTTCTTTAAAATAATTTAATTGTTTTTTTTTATTATATAGTTGAGAATTTTTCAGAATGACTGTTTGTTGCCAAAGTGTAACATGGAAATAAAAGGTCATCTTTTTTGTCTGATACTTATCTTACTCGAGTTATAAATGTTGAATACTAAAAGGTCAACAATTCAGAGTTCTGTGTTATATTATATTACTTCTTTTATTAGTTAAAAGGTCAACATTTCAGAGTTCTGCATACATGTAAATCAATTATATATATATATATATATATATATATATATATATATATATAAGCTACCGAATTCATTTAATACTTTGTGTTATTATAGATTACATGCACAAGATAATTTTTAAAAATATTGGGTCAGTGTTGGATTTTGAGTTACTATTGTTTTTGTTACAGATCTTGGAAAGGTTCTCCTTTTGCCAGAATTCGGTGGTCTTCCTCAGTGGGCTGTCGTTGGTGTGTATTAAATTTAAATTATACTTTGCTTATATATTAGTATATTAGTCTAGAATTATACTTTCATTTAGTTCTGTAATACAGTATATATAACAACAAAATTGTATGTACAACTATTAACACTTCCGTTGAATTACAGGTGATACATTTCCAGTTGGATGTAACTTCGACTCGGCCAATATTCACCACAAGGTAACTAAAAATAATATATATTTGGTGGACATAAAATTAGTTTTTTGTTACTTGAATAACTTAGATTCCATCTTATTATCTCGCAGTATTTCATTGACAATCCTGATAGCAACAACACGAAGTACAACACAAAAAATGGAGTTTACAGTGAAGGATGTGGATTGGACAATGTTCACATGTCATGGGGTCATGATGACTACATGTATTTGGTATGTTGTATAACAAAAAAAAAATCTTCTTATTTCCTTATAAATAAAGTTGACCACAAAAAAAAAACAACCAAAGCTTATATGCTTGAACTGATTTGATAATTTGAAATAGGTGGCTAAGGAGAATGGCACAACTCTTCCTCACGCTGGTCTCTTCATTATTCGATACCATTCATTTTATCGTACGTATTTAAATGTCCACCATATCTTATATGGTTTCACTCAGTAAATTATTTATCGATATGTTATCATTATCATTTAACATTCTAACAAATAATCATGCAGCGTTGCACAAGGCGGGAACGTACACATACTTGATGAACGATGAGGACAGAGAGGATCTCAAGTGGCTCCATGTATTCAAGTAAGAATACTTTTTTATTCGTTGTTATTCATCTAAATTCCAATTTGTTTATTCTGATGAATCAAAATGAATTTTGCAGTAAATACGACCTATACAGCAAGAGCAAAGTTCTTGTAGATGTCGAACAAGTGAAGCCTTACTACGTTTCACTTATCAACAAGGTAACAACAATACTATAATATGCAATTTATTCATCCCTCATAGTTTACGATACATATAATGTATACACCTGTTTTTTTTTTAATAACTTTGCAGTATTTTCCGGCGAAACTAAAATGGTGAGATCGATTATCAATATACGAGTTGTGAGATCACTAATGACATTTTATTTGGAGGACGACATCAAAGGTTGACGAGTTTCTGCTCTAGAAAACGGAAAATATCTATTAAGAGTTATGGTGTTCATTTCTTGTTTTCTTTTCCCATCAATTGAAGAAAGATGTTGTATGCAGTAAGCATTTTTATCAATAAAATAAATTTACTTATCTCTAATGTTTTCCCTCTTTTTTTTATGAACATCCAATTTAACTTATTTTGACTGTTTATCAAACATTCTCTAAGCTATAATCATAGACTACGATAGAGACATAGAGTATATGAGATTTCTCTTCCTCTTTCAAACATCTTTCATTTATGCTTCAAAGTAACAGAATTAGCGGTTTTCTTCACAAAATCTTGAACCATATGAATTGATAAGAAGAAATATCTTTTAATTTATCCATTAAACTAATCACGATAGTGTTGAACTTTTAGTTAAACATATTTACAATCTGATTAGTTCTAACGAGTTTGTTTTTTAAATGAATTATTATTTGTTTTTAAGGGCAAGAAAAAACTAACATATGTACGTGTATATCTATTTTCACTAAAACCACTACCATTCAAAAGTATGATATAATTTTGTTTGTACTAGTCTCGACCCTCATTATAAATCTTTGGAACAATGAATCCTCAATATGTATCGTAACCATCCCATTGCATCGTGTCCAGATCATATTCACGTTGACCATATATATGCAGGCCTTCATGATCTGGTACAACCGGTTCATTAGAAATCGGAAGTATATCAGCTGAAGCTATTATGGTAACCACAACCTCAAATTCTTTCCAACCCTACTGAGATCTCATAACTGCCTTCTCTAGCTCACCAACTGGAAGATCCACTCGGTGAATATGTGACATCATTACTTAAACATATTAAAATTTGATTAGTTCTAACGAGTTTGTTTTTTCAATGAATTATTTATTTTTGAGGGCAAGAAGAAACTAACATAGGAGAAAGTTAGTCATACTTCTATATCAATTTTCACTAAAACCACTATCATTCAAAAGCATGAAATAAACCTTTTTTCCTGTACTAGTCTCGACCCTCGTTATAAATCCTTTAGAAGGGATCAAGCCAATCGTAGTTCGTTATAAGAGAGTTAGATAGATGAAATCTAGAGAGAATTATGTCTTCTCCAAGTATAGAGATTCTGGGATGATTGGAAGACATTCTGAGAAGTGAATAACTTCTTTATTTATAGCCCGACAAGGTAGGTCTTCTGGAGATAACTTCTCATGTTGAAATAAGAAAACTTTATTCTTGATAAAGCCGACCTTCCATTTTTTTCGGAACTTGGTCTGATAAATAGAAGATTTCTATTTATCTCGCCGACCTAAATATTCCTTAGGATTTTAAAGTGGGCCTATCTCAATTGATGTAGGGCTTTTAAAGGGGGTAAGAAACTCATCTCTAACATATTACACCTAATTTAAATCAATCAAACTAAATCATAAACCGAATTAAACCCAATTGTAATCAGTAAGTGTTAATTAATTAAATCGAGAAATGTTAAGAATATAGTTAATTAATTAAATAGAAAATATTAAGAATAATTGTGGTGTAAAACACATCAGTTAAAATATATATAATTAAAATAATGACATGTTAGCCTATAATGTTTCATGTTTAATATATAGTAAATATTTTTTTTAAAACAAACATTCACTTAAATTTTCTGTCATATTTATTTAAATCAAATTGTTTAAATTATATATAAAAAATCTAAATATTAATGAAGATTTTTAAAACATCAAATACAATTAAAAAATAAATAATTATAGAAGTTTTTGTTTGGTTGCAAGAAAGATTGTGTTTGGTTGCAAGAATAAAGTATTTAAGTTTTTAACCATTTTAAGATTTAAAATATTCAAAATTCTGAGATAATGACACATAAGCCACTAATGCTTCCTGTTTAATATATGTTAGATATATATATATAATAAAATACAGATATAAGTTAAAAATGGAATTCAATTGTCTAATTGAGCCAATTAATTTTTTTTAGAAGTGTAATGAAAAATGTTCATAATATTTGTAAAATTAGTCTGTTTTCTTATGCTAACTAATTTTGAAACATTTGTATGTACAATACATACACAAAGAACGCATGAACTAGTTTGTATAGTAAGTAAAGAAACTAAAAAACAAATGACAAACATTAAATAAATAGTATTATTTATTTATTATTTTTATTTTATTGTTATTTAGTTCCAAAAAATCTCTTCCCTCTAGGCATAATTTCTCCACAATAACAAAGAAAATTTGCACAACTACGTGTAAATCTATCCTTTCTGAGACAATGATATACACATTCTTGACAAAAACCAATTATGTTATCAGCAGACGCAAGTTTAAGATGTTCAATTGGAGGGCTTGATGCTGGATTGGAAGAGTCCATTTCATCTTCAGAAAAAGAGTTTCCCATACACACACCTATTAAAATAAGAAAATAATAAAATAAATTATGTGATAGAAAATTAATATGTCAAGGCTATAAAATATTTTACATATCATTTATATTATACAAAATTAAGCATACATGATAAAATAAGCACTACAAGAGTTGAAAACAAAACAATTGTCTTCATTTTTTTAATTGAAATTTAATTTTATGGAGTTTTTGTTCTTATTTGTTTGATTTTTTTTCAGTGAATATTACAAAGCTTAATAGTGTCATATTTATATACTTTATGCACTTATGTTACAGAAAACTAATATTCTAATCAATGCTTTCAGTGTGATAAATGAACTTTAAAAAACTGTTCTCTTATAAATAATAGTTTTTGTATTTAAATATTAGAAATGTGTTAAAAGTTACTAATTAACACTTTAAGATAAAAACGATTATCTTATTAACGTATAATCAATATTTGTTTTAGAAACTGTTAAGTTATAAAATCTAAAATGAGATCATAAGGTATAAGATTTTTGAGTTACCAATGCTATAAGTATTTTTTTATCAATCTATTCATATTTTAACACATAAATAATGGTTCTAAAGACACAAATACAAATTTAATATGATAATATCTATCTACATAAACTATTTTTTTTGTTATCTCTTTCCCTCTCATTCTTAATATATATATACATCTCGATCAAGGAAATTTTTTCTGTAGCTTACAACTCTCTGTTCATAAAATAACTAATATGATCATAGTTTTCATGTAAACAATAAATGCTGTTTTAAAGCGAAACTATAACAATGCATATAAATGAAAATTAGGAAAACTGAAACTCAAAACTGTAATCTGTATAGGAAAATTTTTTTGTCTGAGTAGTAATAAACGTAAATTAATATATTTCATGCTCATAAAATTTTGAATACTCATTTAGAAAAACAGAAAATTGAATCCATAATAACTACACGTACTACTTATAAATCAATTTGTGAATTAAAATTTATGAACAAAAAAAGTCAAAACTCCAATAAAGAATTTAAACCTTTTATTATATATCTCCATTTTTCTTTTACAATATTGTTTTTAATCAAGTGGAAAACCAATATTTATAGTATGTTTTACGAATTGAATCCTCAATATCATAACCAGTAATACACACATCTTGGCAAGAAAACAAAAAAATACAAAATTTAGTATTTTTTGTGTGTGTTTTAATACACATATCTTAATAAGAAGATTAAAAAAACTCAAAATATAACATTTTTGTTAACACACACATCTTGGCAAGAAAATTAAAAAACTCGAAAATTTAACATTTTGTGTGTGTGTGTGTGTGTGTTAATACACATATTTTGACAAGAAAATTAAAAAATAAATCTCGAAAATATAAGATTATATTGTGAGTGTGTTAATACACACATCACGGCAAGAAAAATTGAAAAAATCGCAAATTTAAATTTTTCTTGTTTGTGAATACACATATCTTGACAAAAAAATTCAAACACTCAAAATTTAACATTTTTGTGTTTTTATTAATACGCACATCTTGACAAGAAAATAAAAAAATTAGTCCTGCAAACTTAAGAAGAAAAAATTCACCGAAAAAACTCGAAAATTTACCATTTTCTTGTGTGTGTGTTAATACACACATCTTGGCAAGAAAATAAAAAAACTACAAATTTAGTATTTTTTTGTGTGTGTGTGTTAATACACATATATTGACAAGAAGAATAAAAAAAACTCGAAAATTTAATTTTTTTTTGTGTCTCTTAATACACACATCTTGGCAAGAAAAATTAAAAAATTCGCAAATTTAACATTTTTTGTGTGTGTTAATACACACATATTGACAAGAAAATATAAAAAACTTGAAAATTTAACATTTTCTTTTGTGTGTTCATACACACATATTTGTAAGAAAATTAAAAAATTTGAAAATTTAACATTTTTTGTGTGTATTAGTACACGTATCTTGACAAGAAAAATAAAATAAAACTCTAAAATTTAACATTTTCTTATGTGCGTGTCAATACACACATCTTGGCAAGAAAATTAAAAAAACTCAAAAATTTAATATTTTTTTTTGTGTGTGTGTTAATACACACATCTTGACAAGAAAATTAAAAAAAACACAAAAATTTAACATTTTCTTGTGTGTTTGTTAGTACAAACATCACAGCTAGAGAAATTAAAAAAACTCACAAATTTAACCTTTTTTTGTTTGTGAATACACATATCTTGACAAAAAATTTAAAATCTCTAAAATTTAACATTTTCTTGTGTGTTTGTTAATACACATATCTTGACAAGAAAACAAAAAAATTAGTCCTGCAAACTTAAGAAGGAGAAATTCACAGAAAGAAACTCATAAATTTAACATTTTCTTGTGTGTTAATAAACACATCTTGGCAAGAAAAATTTAAAAATTTGAAAATTTAACTTTTTTGTGTGTGTTAACACACACATCTTGACAAAAAAAATTATAAACACCAAATTTAACATTTTCTTGGGAGTGTTCATCCACTCATCTTGGTAAGAAAATTAAAAAACTTGAA